ATCTTCCCAATATAGTGTTTGTGCTACTTGATTTGCCTTAATAAAATGTCATTGTCTTGTTACAGATGTTGAATTCTTTGTCATGTTCTCATACTATCTTTTAAGGTTATCCAAAAGGGATTCCACTGTATGTATAAAGTAAAGATAAAGGTTCCCCTCACACATATGTGCTAGTCGTTCCTGACTTTAGGGGGTGGTGCTCATCTCCGTTTCAAAGCCAAGAGCCAGCTCTGTCTGAAGATGTCTCCATGATCATGTGGCCAGTATGACTCAATGCCAAAGGTGCATGGAACACTGTTACCTTCCTATCCCTATTTTTCTACTTGCATTTTTACATGCTTTCAAACTGCTAGGTTGGCAGAAGCTGGGACAGGTAACGGGAGCTCATTGCGTTACGCTGTGTTAGGGATTCGAACTGCTGAACTGCCAACCTTTCTGATCAACAAGCTTAGCCACTGAGCCACCGTGTCCCTCACTGTATGTATACCAATGGATAATATTTCTCCAGCACCTTTGGCAATGTTTAGCTTTTGTAAGCTTTGGTAAATAAGGATTTCCTCAAATCTCTCTTCAGGCAATATTTATGTATTCCAAACAATGGATAGCTTGCCTTCTGAGTCTTATTCAAATGTCCATCTTAGCATTGATTAGGAAATACACATTACAAGAACATATGTGACATGGCAATACATATTTAAAATAAGGAACACCTTCAGGGAAAAGCTACTGGAATGCCTCAAGATCTATTAGCCACAACAAATTCTGTCTTTCTACTTCCTTAAAAAATGTGCAATAGCCATGAAATTGTTGCCTGGTCCTCTTTAGATTGTCAGCATAACTCCTGTGACCTGAAGGAACTGTTTGTTATTTCCATTTATTCAATATCATGATCAGATTACAATCAAGTTGAAAGAAGCCAGTGAAAGTTATCAGATCAGTATCAGATTTCAGATATCTTAGAGATTCTTACAGATAGATCCTACTGAAGGAAATAGCTTCTGATAGGACTTTTCCCAAGGAAGAAACTAAACCCCTCCCCCCAAAAAAATACTTCAGAGGGTTGATTTTGAGGCTGGAAAGCTTCTTTGATGTGATTTTCACTGATCCTATCCCATGAAAGAAAGGAATAAACTTGCAAAGGGGATGAAATTAGTTTTCTTTTCTCAGCTCTACCTCCAGATTTCCCACAACCACAGTTGGCTTAACACAATCCCACCACTTAAATGAACCAGGAGGTTGGCACCTGGTTCACCATTTGTCCCTCTTAATTTTCAAAATTGTCACAGTGGGGAGACTAGAGAGAAAAGCTCATTAGGAACCTGCCAGAAAATAAAGGGACAAGACATGGTACATTTGGGTGAAACATTTATTTACTAAAAACAAAGCCTTTGGAAATCTAATAATGCAGGAATATATTTAAAGGCCAAAATCACCTAATGATTCAGACCAGTGGTGAATTGCCAATTTTTTTAATACCAGTTCAGGCACTCTCCCGCGCATGCTCACACATTCAGGTGGGTGGGCGGAACCTTCCATTGCCTCTACTACTGGTTTGCCCAATCCGGGCTGAACCGAGAGCAGCCCACCTCTGATTGAGACTATCTAAGCCTAACTTGATCCCACATTTTCTGGCAACTACCATACCTGCATAGCAGTGGTGTGATTAAAAATGTTTACTACCAGTTCTGTGGGCATGGCTTGGTGGAGGTGGCTTGCCTTGGTGAGGGTGGCATGGCGGCCATGGCGTGGTGGGCATGGCAGGGGAAAGATACTATAAAATCTCCATTCCCTCCTGATCAGCTGAGACTCGGGAGGCAGAGAATAGATGGGGGC